CATACAATTGAAATACCTACTCACTCATCATACAATTGAAATATTCCTGGTCCTCATAATCCGACACAATGGAATACAAGGACAACTCCATCATTGGTGGAGGCGGTTCCACCGGATCATGACGTGGGGGAGTATTTTCCTTTAGAGGACGTAATAGTGTCATTATTTCTGACACGGAACGCACCACTGAAACTAACTGCGAGCATTGTTCACTTGAGAAGCCATGTGTAATGGTTTTCCTCTTTTTTGTTTTCCCTTGCATAATCTATTAAAAAAATGAAATTGGAAATGCAAGAAATATATATAATAAAAAATGACATTAAATTGAATAAAACAGCAATGAATTTTTTTATTTTAACCTCATCGCCATGATTTTGACCTTTTCGAACGTTTGTCCATGACCCTTCGGCTTCAATGGAAGAGGCCATTTGTATTTTTATACAAATGGAATTTTGTAGTAGAAAATTTGGTGTGGAAAGCGAAAAATATTGGAAGGATATGAATTTGTATGAAGATTTGGTGTGGAAAGTGAATAATATTGGTAGGTATTTATAGAAAAAATTTCTAGAATTTCTTGATATTTTTTAGATATTTTTTAGGGAGTTTCACTAACGAATTTTTCAGAATTTTTTCAAATTTTTTCAAATTTTTTTAGCCAAAAAAACGAGGACCATCAGATTTCTGGAAAAAAAGATCGAAGCGTCCCTGTCGCGACACGTGGCACTTTACCGTTGGATTCTGCCAGCGCTGACGTCATGCTGACGTCAGCGCGAGGAAATCAATTTTTTTTTACCGTTGGCGCGTGTAATTCACGCGCCAACAGTAAAAAAAATCTGTTTTACTGTGCGCTGACGTCAGCGTGATGCCAGCGCTGACGTCACAAAACTCAGGCTTCAGCCCAGGCAGAAGTTGCCCTTGGGCTTGCTCGGGCTCGTGGGACCCACCACCAAACCGGGCTACGGGCCCTGCGCTGGAGCCGCCTCCGGCTCCTTATGGGTGGAGATGCTCTAAAGGGTGTCCCTGAAATAAAATTATTTGAGGGATCTCTCAATAGAAGATGACTATATATATTCAAGAACTAATGGTTGGTAAAAAAAACCCGCTAAACCAAAAAACACCGCTCGATTTAGTTCAGATTTTGACCAAAATAATAAAATTAACAGTTCAAAACCGAAGTATGAACATAAGAACAAGGCCAAGAGGAAGCAATAACATAAGAAATATGATCTAATAAACATTTACATTTTCCCAACAAATGCTAAAAGAAATTATTTTCTACAACGATGTAGTTTTAATACACACTAATCTTTATTTATATAAACTATACTACCCAAAAAAAGAAGAATGGATTTTTGTTATGGCAAATAATTGAAAAAACATGCCTCGTTCTGTGTTCTACCAGAAATATAGGTATGACATTTGATTGGTTGCCAAACTAATGAGATCTGTATTCAATCTTTAGAATGTGAAACACATTTTATTTCCTCTCATAGAAAGATCACATTTTATGAAACATCGGGGCAGAGGATACCAGAATTTCCTTCTATAGAAAGATCACATTTTATAAAAGATTGGGGCAGAGGATACATCAGATAGGGATATTGTCGTGACACGGACTTATGTACATAGATTTGTCACTGTCCATCCTGCTTTCTAAAACATTTTATAAATCCGGAAATCAGGACGGAATACGTTTTGCTATTGATATGACATGATATGAACACCTTATCAATATCATATCGACAATCGGTACTTAAATAAAGAACAGACGTTGAGAGAAACTCTAGCGCTTATTTTAGGGCATTACCCAATTTGAGGCTTTCAGTTTTAGCTCAAGTACTACTAATCCTGTGCTGGACCATTTCATGATTTGAAATTTGAATATCAATAAACCAATGCTCCTTATTGCATCGTGCCAAACAATTTGTATGGCATGTTTCTGGCCAAATCTGAACTGATTTTGATTAGTGGGATAAAGCCAGACCACCAGTTATTTTAGTTTTCATAGATTTCAAAGTCAAGATTTTTATTTTTATTTTTCTAAGGAGACTTATATTTATTTATTTTTGAAGAAATATACTTCTTTAAACAAAGTCATGCTGCATGCATACAGATCTAGATGAGCTCATTTCATAGATCATAGATTACAAAACTTTGAAAATCCAAACGTTGTCGTTTGGATGTTGATCTTTCTATGGCAGAGTATTATAATTATTCTTTTGCACGTGAATTAAAGGGAGCTGTTATTAGCACTCTAAAAAGGTAATTTTACACTACTGAAGTACTATTTCTTCAGCTTTCTTTTCACAATCAATTATGTATATACAAATGTTAATTAAATTTTACCCTTGTCAAGGAAATACACAATGTCGTCATAGCTTCATTCCTTCGATGCCGTTGGAAACAACATATTGGAGTATCTAACCAAAACCAATTAGTACGTAATCGTGACTAAGATATTAATGAGATGTGAAAGGTTAAAATGTTGGAAACAATATAGTGGAGCATTTAATCAAAACAAGGTATTAATGAGATGTGAAGGTTAAAATGTCCGAGACGTGAAATTTCCAACAATAAAAGGAGCCAGGAGAGAGATTCCACAAGATGGAGCTAGAATAGTGATCATTAATTACATAGAAATGTTCATTTTACTTACATATATTTGTTTTGATTTTGATAATATGCTCTTTATCATACCTTTAAAAAGATGAACATCATGTTTAATCTTAAGCAAGCCTTGTTGTTGAAACCCAAATTCATGGGCTGACCTTCTGAGAAGTGCAACAATTCTTGGATGGCTGAGGAGCTTGATGGGTATCCATAGCTTCTCCACGTCTCCCATTTCTTTCCCCACCAGAATTGGGACATAACCTTTTCTAACCCTGTCTCTCTCCATTGTCTCACTGCAGCTTAAGCTCACATAGGCTGATGAGCAGCAGCAGCTTCCCATTTCAATTAATTTCCAACCCTTCTTTGAGTTTTGAGCTTTTTGCGTTGCACTTGATACATGGTTTTTATAGCATGAAAAAATTATAATAAAAGTAGAATAATAATCCGAAATTCGAAAAATTTTGATTGGTCAAATTTTTATAATGCATGATTCTTTGAAAAATTTAGTTTCAATTATATATATTAGTTATTTGGTCAGTCCAACTAAACTATTTTATAAAAATTTCATATTGTGAAGGCATGGATAGTCCTTTCTTTGATGGGGATGTTTGGATTAATCTTGAGATTTCCTGTTCATGTTTCATGCTTGCCTGGAAATTCAACCAACTGTACTAATTAATTCATGATTAGTTGAAGTATTTAGAGCACAGCTCACACAAGAAATATCTTTGTGAATATTTTTCTAAATTAAACCTAGTTGTTTATTACTAAACAAAGGAAGTTCTGCAAAAGGATTACCTGCTTATCAAAATGTAGTGACTCATGAAATGGATGTATTTGTTTTATGTTGACCCCTCCCATCAATTCACAACTAGCCATGAATTTAAGTTCACTCATTTGAGGGCCAGAGAGTTGTAAACTGGGCTGGGTTCAGTCCGAATTTTTACGGGTCAGGATCAGTTCAACTCAAGCCTAAATCTCTTTTCGAGATGCCATATTCCATTGCAGAGTCTACCTCACAAAAAAATACAACTATGTATCTATCGCTCTCATCATGAGGTGAGACTAGTTGAATAATGATTTCACACTCATTGGTACTGGTGTGTGCTAAGTGCGGCGATACAAATTTTTTTTATGGTCCCCCCCAAAAAAGTCTTCCGTTAGAACGTTTCTTGTCATCCCCTGGTCATTTTAAAACACTGTTGGGTCCATGTTTTATACGATATGGTAGATCAAGGAGCTGGTGTCTGATAGAAGGGCATGAAGCTTGAAGCTTGAAGCTTCTCTATCATTTATCAAGTTTCTGCAATTTCATGACACTATAAGTTGATGAGCAACAAAGATAGCTATATGGTTCCTTAATCTTTTCCTTTTTTGTTGGAATTTTTAGCTACAAACAAAGATCATCAACTTCAGCATCATCTCTGATGAAAGAAAGGAGAAAGTGCTGCAACAATGTTGAATCTAACCGACACATGTGACTCATATAAATCATAATTTTGAGGCCCCAGCTATTAAACCTAATCTTTCGGGTCATTAGAGCAACTGTGTCCTTCAAGGGGCAAGATCAGCATTCCTCATAAATAAGCACCAACCAGAGCAGTTTCTCTGTTAGGAAGCTTTTAATGTGTCTTTAATACCTCTTAATTATGGGTCACATCCAGTGCTCAATCTTCATTCTCCCAATAATATGCAAGATAAACTTCTCAAAGAAACAATATGCAAGATAAAAGTTTTGTTGATAGATCTCTTTGCTTTGGAGACATAAGTTAGGTCAGTTGGCCAGAGCAGTGAACTCGCCCTACTTGCACTCGATTTCGAATTCCCCTTCTTGTAGATTAGATTAATTGAAATCAAAAGATAGAGCACTGTTTCTTCTCAAATCCATAACTATGTTTCCCAGATCAGAAGTTGTAATCCATAACTATGTCTTCTCAAACATCATTTTGTGTCCCTAAATTTTGGAAGTTTTGAGTTTTCATTATGTTTGACAGAAAAGGTTGTAAGTATTTGTACCTTACTTGGTGCACTGCTAGATCATGTTGTCTTTACTTTATCAGGCTTGCAGGACTTTTTTTTTTTTCACCTTTTGATTTTTTGGTAACAAGGACTGCAGGAAGACTTTTCTCAGGGAATGGAATGGAGAAACTCCATAAAGAATTGAATGCAAGTTGCAGTATTGCAGATAATCTGACAAACTCCATCTACTACATTTATGGCATTATCAATACTAACAATCACACAAGCAACTCAACTGATTGACAAACTTTTCAACCATTTTTGGTGCCAATAAAGACTTGCCTTTTTAATGGTTTCATTCACTATTTACTCATTCCTTTTCATCAAAATTCTATGATTGCAGAAACCCAGGAACTCACTGAATTTACTGCAGCTCTGTGTTTAACCCCATGTTGGTTAAGCTTCTAGCCCATAATGCTGGTACATGCTAAGCTTCCTACTGCCATTAAACGCAGAACCCCCCACCAAACTTTCTCAATTATATATCCACATTTTCCATTATTCCAATAAATAAATCTGAAACTAGTATTTAGATTCCTTCTCCCACCAATCTATCATTTCCATCCAGTTGTGAGCTTGCTAGAACCCTATACCAGACACAAAACAATATGGCAAACTTGTATATTCCTTGGATTTTCTTAGTTCAAACACTAACACTATTTGCCAAATGCAGAGGTAATGTTCCAGCAGTCATAGTGTTTGGAGATTCTTCCGTTGACTCAGGTAACAACAACTTCATTCCAACAATTGCCAGGAGCAACTTTCAGCCTTATGGTCAAGATTTTCCGGGAGGCCAAGCCACGGGGCGGTTCTGCAACGGCCGAATTCCTTCTGACCTCATCTCTGATGGTCTAGGCCTTAAGCCAACCATACCTGCCTACTTGGATCCAATGTATAACATATCAGATTTTGCTACTGGTGTTTGCTTTGCTTCTGCAGGAACCGGCTATGATAATAAAACTTCTGATGTTGCTGTAAGTAACCAATCAAATTGTATTTTCTAAAGTCTACATCAATTAAACAAGTTGAAGCTATATATCTCATCAAATTCTTTATGCTACAAAAATGTTTACAATTATATCCTTATTAATTTCAGCGTGTGATTCCACTGTGGAAGGAAGTAGAATACTACGAGGAATACCAGAAGAAATTAAAAGCCTATCTTGGAAATAAAAAGGCAAAAACATTACTAAGTGAGGCTTTATATTTGATTAGCATAGGAACAAATGACTTCCTTGAAAACTACTATATATTACCGGACCGACAATCCCAGTTCACCGTGAAGCAGTACGAGAACTTCCTGATCAATCTTGCAGCAAATTTTGTGAAGAAACTATATGCTCTTGGGGCTCGGAGGATGTCCCTAGCAGGGCTTCCTCCAATGGGGTGTTTGCCATTGGAAAGGACCACAAATATCATGGGACTGCATGCATGTGTGGAGGAACGCAACAATGTGGCTTTGGAGTTTAATCGGAAGTTGAAGGGGATGGTGGCAAAGCTAAACAAGCAGCTTCCAGGGCTTGAGGCCGTATATGGAGATGTTTATTACATTTTCTTGCAAATCATAACAAGGCCTTCTCGTTTTGGTAAGTTCTTAGCATTTGATGATTGGTTGGTTCTATGACTTTAAAGTTCTAATTCTGAGGTTCCCTCAAAGACAAGAAAGTCGAATTTCAAAACGTCAAAATTTTTAGTTTTAGTTTTTTAGCACAAGCGATATTGTAAACTACATAAAAATGGGGGTTTCACACGCACACACAACTAAGATGCCATGGGGATTCAAAACTAAGACCTTTGATTTGCAAGTCAATGCCCTTTTCTACTGGGCTAGACCCCGTTGACAGAATTTTTTCGGTTCTAGGTTGCTTTAACTGATTTGAATTTGATTTCTCTATGTTTTTCCATGTTCTTTAAGCTTGTCCAAATAACATTTTGGGTTTAAAAATGGTTCTCTTTTCGATGACAGGATTGGAGGAAGCAAGAGTGGGATGCTGTGGCACGGGGAGATTTGAGATGAGTTTCCTATGTAATCCACATAATCCCTTTACATGCCAAGACGCAAATAAGTATGTATTTTGGGATGCCTTCCATCCTTCAGAGAAAACCAATCAAATCATCTCAGATAATGCGCTTAAAACTTATTTAGCAAAGTTTCTTTGATGATGTCGTAATGTGTAATGCGTAACATTGAAGCAAATACAACGGGATCTCCCTTTGCTAATGAAATTTCAAAGACGACCAAACATCGATGTTTGAAGGTTCCCCTTCATCTCTCTATTTCTTAGTCATCTACACTTGGGAACTCAGAGGATGTTACATAGGTTTGGAAGATCTTGCCACTTTCCAAATTATTTGGAGTGAACAATGAACATATAGAATGAACGACGAACAGACATAAAGCTATTGCAGACTCGAAGCAAAACATTTACCAAAAAGAAGCAAAAATAATCAACCCCGGCTCTGCATCCTAGCTTTGGGAGTTTCAATCCTTCTATGCAGTTAGTTCCCCATCTCTACACCAATCTCATTTCCACGAGTCAAAAAGACTAATCGGGTTAAAGTTGCCCCGTTGCTGCTGTAACCCGTTGCAGCTTCGCTACAGCAGCGAAAGCTGTACCTGGAAATTTGAGGCTCATATTTACATCTGAGATATAGAAGGTTCAGAATCTTCCTTACCCCTGACTTCTTGTCTTCTCCTCTCTGAATGCTGATGCTCCGACCATTCAACCCCTCCCCCTCCTGATAATTCACATATGATCCAAACCACTCATACATCCAAAGCTACCTCCTGCCGGTTTCACCATAACTTAAAACTTCCACCATTTCGTCACTAAAAACAAACTGCAATCCTCCATTAGTTAACAAGGAAGGATCAACAGTAGCTACCAGCATCTATCTGGATTTAGCTAATTCCCTTTTGCAATTATTTGAAACCAAACTTACCAAGCTTTTACAAGATCCAACAAACAAAAAATATCAATAACAAAAGACGCTAATATTTCGATCTCTATTCCTCCTTGAAGTTGCTTATTACAAACATGTCCAGAGCGCAACAGGTTGATGATGGATTACACTTGACATATATAATTAGAACTAACATTGAAGTCATTGTGCATAGATCAAAAACACCAACAGCGACAACCATACAGCCTGTTATACACAATAAGACACTTGCTTACCAGCCCTAAAATGAGTACAAGGAACGAACCCGGCTTCAGCAACTATCTTATTTCACAGTATCATGAACAAAGGCGAATCAAGCAGCCGCTGGCTCTGCAATTTGTCTGGCTTCGAGAGTCTTTTCGTATTCCTCGATGGATTTGAAGAGCTCGGAGAAGTTACCTTTCCCAAACCCACCACATCCACCCTTCTGGTGAACCTTCCCTTCCTCATCCTTAAGCATGCACCCTACTCTCTGAATGATCTCTACGAATATGGTTGGCCTGCCCATTTCAATACAAGAACCAATTAACCCAATGTCATAAGATCAAGCAGGAAATTCTTTTAAGCATAAAGCTAGCATTTTTCAAAAGCCCCAATTGCCTCATAATTAAAGACCATATCTTTGACACAAAATTAACAACTTTAACAAAGAAAGAGCAGAGCAACCGTGATCAATTACCTATCTCCAACAGGCTTTGTGAAAATCTGAAGCAGAGTGCCCTGGTCGTCCCTGTCCACCAAAATCCCCAACTCCTCACACTCCTTGATCTGATTATCCGTCAACACGTCCCCAGCCCTCTTCTTCAAGTTCCTGTAATACGTCGGCGGCGGCGACGGCATGAATTGGAACCCTCCGATGCCGCTCCGGCTCCTCATCTCCCTCAGCGTCTTGAATATGTCTTCGCTGACCAGAGCCAGGTGCTGAACTCCAGCGCCTTCGTTGTGTTCCAAGTAGGTCTGAATCTGACTCTTCCTCTTCGTCCCGTATACCGGCTCGTTCATCGGAAACAGAACCATCTCTTCGTTGTTCGCCAAAACGACGGAGTTTAGTCCGCTCTCGCTCGTCCCGACGTCCTCCGCCGTGAACTCGGCGAACTCGTGAAACCCGGTGAAGCCTTTCACGCCCGACCCCGCCGATTTGAGATCCTCCACGTTGCCCACAGCGTGGTCTAGACGGCGGAGCCCGAAGTCGAGAGGAAACGACGACGTCATGGCTTCAAATCCGGGGAGGAACCAGAGGTCCGGGTTCGAGTCGGACACGTCGCTAGAGTTCGAGTAGCTCACGTAGCGCAGAACAACATCGCCGTAGAGCTGGACCTCGGCGATTGTGACGCGGTTGTCGAGGAGGATCGGCGGGGCGGAGGGTTTGGCGCCGTGGGCGACGCTGGTGGTGAAGGCAGAAACGGCGTTATCGACTTGGATGCCGACGGCGCGGACGCCGAGGCCGTGGCGGGAGGAGAAGTCCCTGGAGGCGGAGTGGTCGAAGGTGGGGATGGAGGCGGGGGGGGTGTTGGGCCGGGTCGGATCATCGGTCCGGGGCAGACGGGGCGGTGAAGAGGAAGTTGAGGTCGCCGGAGCGGAGGAGGTAGGAGGCGTGGCTTTGATTGCCTGTGGAGAGGTCTGATTTGGCTACCATGGGCATGCCGAGGCCCCACGAGAATCGGAGGGCGGAGTTGGTGGCGTCGGTGCACCAGAACTCGACGTGGTGGAACCGGTGGACCTTGAACCGGTCGGACCGGGGATTGGACCGAACGAAGTTGGAGAAGCCCACGAGGTTCAATTGGCTGTCGTTTTCCTTGCCCATGATGCTGCTTGCTGTCGTAGTGGCGGTAGCGGTGGTGGTGGTGGGGGGTGAAGATGGGTTCATATAGCAGTGACTGACAGTGGACTTGCAGAGGAAGGTGAGCTGACACGCGGCATGGGTGGAGTTATCTGATTGTCTTGACACGTGGGTGGATATGGGTGGTTGTATAGGGTGATGGTGGAACAGACGTGTGAGACTGGCCTTCATCCAGACAGTGATCAGTTCTGAGTCTGTCACTGAGAGGAAGGTTGTTCAGTGACGCAACTTGGGACCTGGAAGTTCGTAGACGCGAGTTGTGGCGGAGAAACTATGACTCTCAAAAAGTTTTAACGGTCAGAATATCCCCTCTTGCAAAACCTGTAATAACGGTGAACTCTGGCTGGCACACTTGACATTATAGTTTAAAATATCGATAATATTAACAAAATATTGAGGATATTATCGTTTTTTCAGATTGTGGGTATTTCGAAATGTATCCATACACATATCATATAAATATCGAGAATATCGACGATAATATCGGAAAATATTGATGTCAAGAATTTCGCTCACACTTCAGCAATATTTTGTCAAAATATCGCTATAATATCAAAAATATCGATGTTATAAAAAAACAAACACAAAGCACACACGCAAAGGGGATTCGAACCCCTTCATATCCCATTCCTTTTGAGATGGAATCGAGCAGCTCATGAAAAGAATTCAAGACTCAATCTTCAAATGATTTTGCTTATGGACAACTATTTTGGGGATTTATCATTTGATGACTACTCTTCACAATATACTTAGGGGTGTATTCAATTAGGATTATAAAGCGTTTAAAAAGATTTTAAAAATCCGGGTGTATTCAATTTGGATTTATACAAACTTTGAAAGATGTTTTACAAGTCTGAATGTATTCAATTCCAACTTGTATGAACTTTTAAAAAGTCCATTTAAATATGGGTGTATTCAATTAGTATTATAAAAAAAGTTGAATTAAATCTAGGTATATTCAAAAGGTCATATATTTGGAAGGATTTCATTAAGTGATAAATTTTTGTAAGTTTTAAGGGGAGAGCTATAAATAATAAAGACCATAACAAATCCAACCTCCACCCCAAGTATTCCATCAGTTTTTCTCTCGCCCTAGCTTTTCTCTCTGCAACAGAAGACGAACAACTTCCTTCCTCCATCTGTGAAGGTATGCTCCCTATTTTTTCTTTGATCAATACCTCGTTGGGTTTTCTTTTTCCATGATTTTTCTTCTTCCATGATTTTTCTTCATCGTGTTTTTTGTGTTATTTGGGGTTAGGGTTTATGCTTGTTTTTCTTCTAAAATATCTATATACAACTTTATAAGAATTGTTCATTGAATCATTGGATAGGAAATTGAAATATAGTAATTGACAACCTTTCTATAATCGAACAAAAAAACTGAGACAAATATAGATAAACAGTATAAAAATAAAAATAAAAATAAAAAAGCCGAAAATTAACTACAACTTTTAAATGCTGTTTTGGAAGCCCAAAATCCACCATATGTCAGGCAAGCCGTGAGTTTGACTTGTGGCATCGTTTCTTTTTCAGAAAAGTATCATACACCCCAATCAGAGTTTGGACGTCAAATCTATAATACATTTGTCACTATATTTCTTATGAATTTTTCTTTTTGTTAAACATAATTTTATTTCATGTTGTGAAGGAAAAGATGTTATGAATTTGGCTTTTTATTTCATGTTGGTACAAATCAAGTATCAGAACATCTCTTGAAATTGGATCACCATTAGATACATTGACAACAACGGGTGGGTTTACATTCTTTGTCGTCTTCTCTAGTCAAGTTATAAGTAAAAATCTTTTCATATGTAGCTTATTCTGATAGAAAGCTAACTTGTTACGTGTATTATTAACAGAGACATTGATAGGGAGGAGTTAATAAAGTCATGGCTTTGATGAGATCTCAAAGCAAACAAAACAAGGATGGCCACATGCTCAAAGTTTTTGTAGAAGACGGAGGCCTACTTGAGCAGGTCTTTTTCTTTTTTCTTTTTCCAGGGCCTTGTCATTTTATCATACTTCATTTTTTTTCCTCTGGCAGTCAGCTGATTTGGAGTTTTCTCATTACGACTACAAAGAACAAGGAACCATATTAGCTAAAGAAATTATAAAAGTCTGGAATAAAAGCCATACAAATCTTAAGAAAGTTTATTAAAAAATTATATAGAAGTCTTTTGAAAATCTATCAAGTTCTATACGAATTCTAAGGTTCCATCAAGTTCTATGAAAGCTGGCACTTAAACAAAATCTTTTTAAACGCTCTAGAATCCTAATTGAATACACTTTTTTTACTCTATACATAGAGATGATGAAGATAGTGAAAAATTTGAACTTCATAGGAATGGTACTAAGTCACTCATGTATCTTACCATGCAATGTATAAAGTGTAAAATATTGTAGTAAATTATTATATATAAATGATTATGATGGGTTTAATATTCTTTCATTAATTATTACATATTATATACACTCACGCAGTGTTTGTTAGCTCACTATAAACTTATATAAGTTAAACCCATCATGCAATGCATTTTCTTTCAATTTTTTGTGATAAACTAATAGATAATTGACTAAATAAACAACCTCCAAAGTCTCAATAAAAATTTCCAAGTTTTTCTTACAATTTCTATAGTTTTTATTCAATTTTTATCGATATTAATAATATCCCGATATTTCCATTGAAATTTCCGTATTTTTGGACTACTGATATTTTTGATACCATCGATATTTTAAACCTTGCTTGACACCTAATTAAAGTGTAGTGCTAGGTGTAGGGCCACAAGATATAACTAATCTACGTGTTCACATGATATAAGAGCTTCCACAATAGGGGGTGTATGTTAAATATACACTCCGAGTCACCGGAATGGTCTCCAATGAGAAGATGTAAATGGATGTAAATATACATCACCACTATGGGAATGTAAAATAAAATGTATATTTACATCTATTTTTATATCCCTTGATAGCGGGACCCACTCGAGAAAAGAGAAGAAAAATGAAGAAAAGTCAACATAAAAGGTTGGAACCCACAGCTACACCCCCAAATTTACACCCCCCACTGGAGCAAAAAACATATTTACACCCCCCAGAGATGTAAACGGGATATAAAAGTGACTTTACAACCCCATTGTGGATGCTCTAACACGTCTATATATCCACATGCTATAACCGGTCTATGTGGCTGTGAATGGATATCATTGACTCGTACTTTAACAGTGGACGGATTATACCATGCATGAATATTGCAGTATTATACAATAATTTCTGAGCTTAAAAAACCTGCTTTTCGCTGGAGTCGGGGTTTTTTTTCCTTCCTTGAGAAAGTTACATGTTCAGTAGGAGGATAAAAGCATATTGGGTAAATAAATCTATACACAGCTGTGGCCTATACGGAGCATAAATCATTTGAAATGGCTTGTTTTACATGTTCAATATACGACAACTATTCATTTCCTTCAAAATATGTTGGCGAGAGGATCTTCCTCATCTTGCGGATTCTCAAGAGCCAGAATGTGTTTCTTAAATGAAGCTGCAGCGTCTTCTCTGTCCTGTAGTCTTCCCAGTTTGTCAAAGACCATCGCCGTTAAATAGAACGCTTCCGCCGCCAATTCATGATACTGCACACCAGAAGGATATTCAACCCATAAACAATGCGATATCAAGGCATTTCCAAGACGCACAAAGCAGACACAAGTAGACTTTAATATTTTATACAGTCCTTGTACCAGGGTTGAAGCTCAGAAGTAGATTTACCTCCAGCAATTGAAGCTCATCTGAAGCTTGTCTCAGAGGATCCAGCACAACATCAGAATCTTCAAAAACTGGCAAGTCAAATTCACGACAGCAATGCGAAAAATAATTAGGACTTCAAATGAAATAAAGCCAAATATAATTAGATGATAGCAACACAGAAAAAGATTAACCGACAATGAAACATGTTAAGAGGGAATGGGTATATGCATGATAGCTAAAGAAGATGGGGCAAAAATTTGGAGTTTGTTGACAAAATTGCTTATGGTTGACTTACCGGAAAAGCTTGGATCAGATAGATAGCATTTTGCTTCTACAATGAAGGCCCGAGAACGGAGCTCCAAACCCCCTTGACCAAGAATCATAGGAAAGGCCCCATGCACAAGGCTTAAGGCCCTTTTTGCATGATTTGATCCAAGTGATAGCCACAACTCGGCTAGCGTGAGTGTGGCCGATGCTTTAAGAAGGTCCAAGTTAAATGACTGGCAAAATGAGAGGCTTGCCAATGCGTACGGAAGACCTAAAACAGCATTGCCTGATTTCTGACAAAAATAAATAAAACAACTTTTACCTTTGCAGAATTTATAGAAGGTTAAATATACAAATAGAGAAACAGACATGTATACGTAGCAAAGAAGACAGGGTGCCAAGAAACTTCAAATTCAAACAACTAAAGTGGAAAATGTGTCATTTCTTCATCATTGGATTATACAGATATACAATCTAGAAGATACTAAAATATAAGAAACAACTTATACCAGCACATCAGATTTCCTGGACATATTAATATGGACCATGGTTGCCTCCCCCCAACCCCTTCTATATCTTCTTTTTCCTTTTCCTTTTTGGTAAGTGCACGGGGGGCTGGCACGTTCAGCCATAAATAAGAACTTTCTTCCACAATTTCTAAAAAGCTGACCATTGGGAAATGAATTTCTAGTATATCTGAACCTCCAACCACATTGTGCATAAAATGTAAATTGTACCTTGTGGATTTCAGCTAGCAATAGAAGAACACTGGCATTTTCAACTTGCATATTGAATTTGTAACACATGCAAAAGAGTGAGTGTGCTACAGCTGCTGCCTGCAATGAAATATGTCAAAATAGCTAAGGAAAAAGCATGCCACACAATTAGAAGATGGAGTCTAGTCCCAGGGTAGGAAGTTCAATGTATTGAAAATATCAAACCTCACTGAACTGATTTGCCGCAAGCAAAGTCCGAGCATTTCGAAGGCTTGCTTCCGTCTTCAATTCCATATCCACACCAGTGACAGATGATGCCAGGACTCCAAGCTCATCACATACTTGTTGGGCAAGCTTCAAATGTCCTCTAAATAATATTTGGCAAGGTCATGACATAAAATGTACTGTATATGAATCAAGATATTCACGAAATATTGTACCTGGTAAACTTACCTATGTAGAGCACGCTCATGGAGGAGCTGAAGTTTTAGTAACAAGATTCGTGATTTTGAGACAGATAAAAACTTCTCTGCAGCTATTTTAAGAGCAGCAAATGCCTCTAAACAAAGAGAAAAAAAAAAAAAAACAAGTCATCAAGGATGAACAGCATTCGTGCATGTGTTTATGTGCGTGAGAGAGAGAGAGAGAGAGAGAGAGAGAGAGAGAGAGAGAGAGTACTCATGCCATAAAAGAAAATGGCAACATTTAGAAAGAATATAATTCTTTTTGTTTACAAGAGTTCTTTAAATAGTAAACGCAATATAGTGCTTCTACCAAAGAAAAAGTAAAGGGAATACAGGTCTTACATATAAATGACACATTTATTAACAATATGACTTACAGAAAAAGACTTTGAAGTCCAATAACAAGGACCACAAACTATAAAATGGTTCCTTTTCTCCGCACAAACTAAACACCCCTACCTAAACAGATTGATTCAAAATGTTAACAAGAATACCAAAGAGTTTTATGTTCAGAAGCAAAATGGCTGCTTGGAGAATCAAGAACACCAAGCATTTTCCAGGGTGTTAATCTTTTGCCTCATTTTGTCTACAAGTATAACCCCAACTATGTAAAATACAATTTTCCAGGAACCAAAAGATTTTATTAAGGCGAAAAAGATGGATAAGAGGTCCATCAGTGGATGCCTTTTTTTTTTGGCATTATATTTTATATAGTTCCCCAAATGCTATTGTGTGCAAGCGTGAAACTCTATGTGATGCTATAGATGCATCACTCTTTTTATGATAGTTGAACTTTTCTTGATATGGGGCACTATTTGATATGGACCAAGACTATGATATATATATATATAACATACAATTTTAAGTAAAGAACATGTGATTAGCTGAACACTATCACAATCACTAAATTTTAAATAAAGACTACTGGAAAGGTACTCAAGTATTTCATCTAACCTTTGTACCCTTTAAAAACTGCTAGATGTTGGATAAGCTTCAAATATGCTAATGCTGTGTCAGATGAACTGAAGACATCCAAGAAGTAGTCAGGTTCAAGTTATATAACATTTAAATGGAAAGAAGGTTATATTATAGGAAAGGAATAGAAACAAGATATGCAAATCTTGAGATACTTTCAGCTAGAAATTACCTTGAAACATCAGGAAAACAAGTTGCATGAACAAGTGCATTAAATCTAGCAAGAGAGGAACTGATGACATGCAAAAAGAAAAAGGTATTAAAACAAGCAAGGCATCATAGTCCAAGAAGTAGTATGAATTAAAAGTATATAAAACTAGTCTTTAGAATGAAATCAAGAATTCTAGAATACTGAAAAGATAAATCTATTCATGTCGTAGCTACTTTTTTCTCAGCAGGGAATCTATACGACACTTATTATTTATGTTAAATGTTGGTGGTTACCACTATTCCCTGAAAGCTTAAGCTACTAGGATGTTGAATAAAAATTATCTTATTCTCTAAGTCTCTCCCTCACTTGTGGACCACCACCCCCAAAGCACAAGAGAGCCCAACATAGGAAATTCCGTATAAATTGTGAGGTTGTAGATGCAAGGATTTGAATTCAGGGTCTCTTTGGTATTATGTTAAATTTTGTTTGTTTACGACTATTCCTAAAACCTTACGTTGTTAGGAAGTGTCATAACTGTTATTTAATACTCTTAACAAATTTGCAATTTTCATTTTGATTAGAAAAGAAATAAAAATAAAAGAATGAAAGGCGCATCACACTCAATCAACTTCACAATCTCAGATGACAAGGTAACTCGAAATGTAGTCACTATAAGGCTTGAAGAACACTATTCCAATAGGATATAGTGATACGGTCAACTGTAGAAGTTAAATCAGCATTAAAAAAGAAAAGAAAAGAAACAAAAGTAAACTAATACAGGTCTTTACTAAAGATCACCTGCCATATATTTCCCATGCAGTGGCACGAAGTAAGTATGAAGAGCCTACTAATTGCAACACAGATGCAGGAACAGAACTTGGTTGTGCACAGAACTGGAAAGCATTATTGCTTCCTGATCCACTTTCTTGTGACAAGACTTGTGAATCCATTGGCTTCTGTAAATTCTTAAGCCATGCAGTACTAAAAGCACCATCAGTTGTCATTGAAGAAGTTTCGGACCCAAACTCACTAATCAATTGAGAACTCAATCTAAGTTCCTGCAAGAATTATATGTAATAGAGGGGGACAGGGGAGAAATGTTAGGAAATTGAACAATTTAACATGTTAGATAATCGAAGACCATTGGAATATCTTCAAAGAGTCCACATTACCTTGCAAACATTAATTGGACTTGTTCTAAGCTTTATTGAAGCCTTGGGACCAAATGAAACTAGAGGCCTTTGCACATGCTGCAAATGATGATACAAAATTACAATTTGCTTCTTTCTTTTTTTAAATGAAAAGATGAAATTTTATTTCACAAAAGAAACTGTACTGCAACAAGGATAGCAATCCACCATGAATATATAAGAGAAAACAATAATTCATGCCACATCTAGTTTAGCAAACCAAAACATATTCATGACACTACAGGTTTCCATAAAAATACATCGCAATGCCATGCTCACCGTTAAATCAAATTTAGCCATCGCAAGATGATTGGACGCCACTAAACGCTTTAACTTCAAATTTTCTGCCCTCTTCAGAGACCCTCTTAAGAGAACAAATAGTTGTTGCTGGACAGACAGTGAAATGCCTATTCTGGTCAAAGGTGAATATGACGAGCCCAGTATTCCAGTTGTACTAGATATACCAGTTTCGGACAACAAATTGCAGATAGCTGCTAAGGTGTAAGCAAGACATGTGTCATTACTTTGCTGCACAAGTTGAAAATCATAAGGCCCTCGTAGACAACATATCCGTGAAGGAAGAATAATATCATGCTGCTTTTTAAACTGAGATGCATGTATATAATCCAAATGGCTATAGAAAACCCAAAGTCAGACACAATATAACTACTGACATGATGACATACGAGTGATTTAAGATAAGAATGACTACATAAACTAAGAAAATTACCAGTTGAGAAAAATGTACTGCTTCAGTCAAAACCTGAAGATTGTAATAAGCAGAAAATTATTAAACACAGGGAAATATAATGACAGAATGCTTCATAACTAAAGGAGAGTAGGAAAATGAGTTCTTTAGGCCCCCTCCTCGTGCTCACCTCCAAAGCTTGTTTCGGGTGCCCAAAATGGAAATGCATCATTCCCAAACAAAGCAAGGCAATTTCATATCTTCCAAAGGTATTGCAACCAGATGCAGGAGGAACAAAATCAATTCCTTCAATCCCTGCACTTTTGTGCCAATGTTTATTGGATTAGTTCATTTGTTTTTAATACATTTAAAAGAGACCAAATGGTGGACACAAATGGTGACCAACATAAAGTTGCAGCTTGAAAGCCATCATTTAAAGGCTTAACCTAAGCCAACAAATAATGTCAAACTTAACTTTCATTGAGACAACCAAGACTAGGAGCATGCCATTGGACATGCATGAAAAGCCATGAAGATAAGTGATAGATCCAGTCATAATAATTATCTCCTTTAATAGGAGCATCACCAAGAACAGCAATGGCTCACCATTTCCAATTTACATTCAATGTATTAGGTTACCAAATGAAAGAAACATCTGCAACAGCACTTGATCAAGTAATTATCAAACTAGATACAGAGCTAAGTTCTGACATACCTGTAATCAAAATAGCGGTGAACATTCTCCAAAGCAGCAATACAATCATCATGATACAAACCATTCAAGTAACGCAAGAAGTGAACCTGCATCAAAATTCAGCAAAAATGACAAAAGAAACATACTCTAAGTGCAAGTACAACACAAATTACCAAACAGGAAAAAAATTCATGCGAGTTACTAACGCGATGTAGCTCAGGTGCCAGTTTTTGAAGCTGCCTTAGCATAAGTTCAAAATCATTTAAAGAGAAACAGCTCCCCTGTCTTCCAAACGAATATTATTTAAGATTCAGTACAACCTAATGAACATAAAACAAATAGGAAAACCAAAATTTTCACAGATATATGCATCACTTACTTTTCAAGTGCATCAGCTTGCTCCTGCAGAAATCCTTGTATCTGCCAGTTAGTTCGTAGGAATATGCCACCACTGGGATCAAGATCTCTTAATGTATTGCTTGTAGGATGTGCATAATGACAAGCTTCTCTAAGTTTGCCACCATGTTTGAATTCTGGGTCACCAGGGACCTCAATATCTGCATGTTTAGTTTATATTATGCATGATTATGATTGACATTGCATTGAAATTTGAACACACAATATTTTAGAGCAAACCCATCAATGAAGGAATACAAAAATAGTGAGCATAACAAATGAAATTCTTTGTCTTTATCCCTTGCATGCCAGGTTTTGTTTCAAAACCACAGATATTTGGACGTTTGAATCAGATAGAGTAAAAGAAATAATTTATATAAATATAATGATCATGATGTTGCCTGAATTTAAAGTGCTCCAGATGGCTTTTGAACTTATTTGTTGACTCCAGAATGCCAGTGACAATGAAATCAAGATTGTGTTAGATTTTAGTACGGAATGTTGACTGATCTGGAGTTTAAGTAATACTATTGACAAACTTCACAAGTTTCAATGAAGATATCAAGTGGCTTCAACTATTCATAACTCTATCCCATATCAGGAGTGTCCTATTTGATTCAGAAATAACTTTATGCAGTAGGTTTTGAAGACCATTGTTGTCAAGCACAAAGACCTCTATGATGTCATAGCATCTCTACATGCTTCACGAGAATGATGCTTTGTATACCTTCAACCAATCCAACAAGTGCTTGGGGTGCATGAAGATGAAAAGAAACTACTTCCCTTGCTTCGATTTCTTCAGTGACTTTCTCGAAAACAAGATTCTCCAGTTCCATGTTTTCATATTCCGGAGGTGTTTCTAAATCATTACTAGAATCATCTAAGTGAGGTGCCTCATACGGAGGACAACTTGAGATAGCTTCTTTACAGTACATCCCTATACTTGTCAAAAGATGGCATGCACCCTGCATTAATATTAAAATTATATGAAACACAAGTTCCCTGTAAAAGCTTTCATTACCATAAAAACTAACAATAACAAACACAACACAACACTCATTTCCCCATGGAATATAGATGGAACTGAAAAACAAATGAAATGGATTTTTAGAAAGAAAAAAAAAAAACTAACAATACCTCAAAGGATAAAAGATTAAACGCAAGTATGCAACGACGAAGAAACATCCCCAGGTGACTATTTGGATCCAAAATGACTTGGTCATCTTCCAGAACACCTGCTTCGGGACCGCCAAGGATTCCTAAAGAAAAATATCAAAACGGATTTAGTATCAGCAAGCAAGTACAACACCACATCAGCAACAACAAAAAATGGTAATTTAAGATGAACTGACCTCGCATATCACTAAAGAAGTTAAACAAATCATCCGGCGAAGACAGAGCCAACAGCTTACTGGTTAAATGGTCGGTTAACCAATAGTTCAATAAGCCCCCAATCCCCCTCAATTGATGTATAAGCTCATCCAATTTGGGCTCAAAAATATCATCATAAGACTGCCAAAAGCAAATAGCAACTAAATTACATGGGTTGTCCAAAGATTGAAGCTTTAATTAGGGAGAAGAGGGAAAACTTGAAAGTACCTTAGTGAGAGACAACAAGAAGAGGCCAAGGCGGTTGTGCTGATTGACGGTGGAGAAAGGGAAGGGGACTGAGATTTGAGCGGGCGGCGCGTAGACCTGAAGCAATATGCAGACTGAGACTTTGTGTGGCGTCACTGCGAAAGCCCCCGGCGGTTTCACTATCCCGGCCATTCGAAATGACTCGCCTCCCGCAGTTTCACTCTCACTCTGTCTTCTACTTTTCTGGTTGTGGATTGAGGATCGTAGCCAGAGCTCTTACCTCAGAGTCGAAGTGAGAGTGTTTCTAGGGATTGAGGTTTTGCAGGGGTTTTTGGAGACGAAAATGGGTATTTTAAAAAAGAACCGGGAAGTTTTGGTGTTCTTTTCTGCTCTCCTCTCTAGAGGAAGAGAACCATTTTTATCTCTTTATTGATTTGTGTGATTTGATAAAAAAGAAAAATTATATTTATTTATGTGGCAAAATGGAAAGAAGTTAAAGGAAAATGGGAGCATTTTTTCTCATCACTTTAATGCAAAGTGTATCATAATTATGGATCCCGAGTCTCTACATTTATGGCATGTTTACTAATTTGTAATTGGATTATGAGAAATTGAATTGAGGATGAATTGAATTGATGAGGAGTTAGATTGAGGAGAATTAAATTCTGAAATCCAATTGAAATTGTTTACTAAATCATATGGATTGAGGGGGTCACTCTTTCGTTCATACGAGGAGAGCCTTGACGGCTAGGGTTAGAGTTCCTCCAGTTTTCTTTACTCATTTTCTACGTCGTTTCTCTTAGTCTTCTCTGATTGTCTCTTTTGGTTCTTTTTGGTGTATTGGGTACTACCATTTTTATTTTATTTTGCTCTTTTGTTCTCCGTGGGGTAGCTGTGTCGACTTCCTTTCTGGGTTCCCAAAGAGCCAGTCACTAGTGAGGGGTCTCCATCTTAACGCTATGGAGGTGGCCACTGCCTCTTATGCTAAAAGGGATGACAAGTATATGGCACCAAACGGGAATCAGATGCTTGCGAAAAACTGGTGTTGGGCATTTAATTGTTAGTGGCATGGATTTTTCTAGTAAGCGTAGTTTTCATATTGAGGATTTTGTTGATAAGGCAGAAGAGACTAGCCTCAAGGGGTCTCCTAGGTCTCCCTAATAATTCTCCTATGGAATGTTCGTGGGCTTGGCAACCGATAAACGTTCCTATTATGAAGATCTTTCTTCATAATTTCTTCAGTCTAAGAGGCCAATCTTGGTCTCCCTTTCTTGTCAGTTGGGGCTCTAGATCAAGAAAATTGGAGGTGGCGGTTGGTGTTTGGTTGGATCTGTTATGATGCTCACAATACATTTTTGACTCTGTACGAAGAACTATGATGCTTTCTTTAGATTATAGAAGACTTTCTTTGACAGTACTTGCGTAGTGATAGGATGTGTTTCAATTGTTTTGTGGTTGGGGTGATTAGTTGGATCTATTCTGATACCCATAGTATGTTTTTGACTCTTTACGAAGAACTATGATGCTTTTTCTATATCATAAAAGGACTTCTTTGATAGTACCTACATAGTTATGGGATGTTGTTTTAAGGTTTTGTGGTTGGGGTTTAGGTTGATTTGTTTCATATAAGTTGTTTTAACTCTTCTGTTTAGTCAATAGCATTGGTGGTCCTTTTTCCTACCCCGGAGTTTTGTTTTTTTTTGGGAAGGTTTTAACAAGGCCGCCCTTAACATGCTAGTTCTTACCATGTAATGTTCCTTTCAGTTGAATGAAATACCATCTTTTCTCAACAACAAAAAAACCTTATGGATTGAGAAGAGTTCGATCTCAAATTCCTATTGAAATTGTTTACTAAAACATATGGAATTGGGGTAGGAGTGGTACTAGTTACTGAAATGTCTTCGTTGCTGGGTTAAAGTAGATGGAAAATTTATAATTTTGAAAATTGTGTGAGGATATAATGGGTAAAAAAGGTAAATTTTTAATAGGTTAGTTCTCCAGGAATTTGAATACCACCTCCCACTCAAGAATTGAATTCTTCCAAAATCAGGAATTCAATTTCTAATTTTGTGTGGGCTCCATATACTTTTTAATTCCTTGATGTGAAATAAACGCAGGAATCTTACATAGGTGGAATTCAATTCCTGATGGGAATTCCAATTCATGATTAGTAAACACACCATTAGAAGTTGTGCATTTACTCGCATTTCGCAACATCTGAACTATTTTATTAATCTATTTGTTTAAAACATGGCACATCAATAAGAAGTTTGTTTTTTTTTTTTTTTCATGAAAAGAAGTGTTTAAAGTGTCTTTTAATGTTTAAATAAAAAATAAAGTAAAAATCCACAAAAGTTACCCATAACCTTCCAAGTACATGAAAAAGTGTTATATGGAAGATCAAAATGGAATATCCTTTGAATAAACATCTTCACTCATCACCCCTTCTCAATATAATCAATTTACCAAAAAAATATATCCCTACATTCAACAATTTGAAGAACTAGTTTGATTTGTATTTTGCATTTGTATTGACACCTGCTTATTTCATGGTTGCAGGGGTAGATTTGTGGTAGAGACAGAGAAATTGTGGCTTGTATGGTGGCCTAAGTGGCAAGGATAATAAGGGTGGGAAGGGGGAGTTGCCTTTCTGATTTTGTTTTTTTAATCTTAGATTTTGTGATTTTTTTTACTTTTTAATTTTAAATTGAATTAAGTTATTAGATTATTTTATTGGGGGTTTCATTAAAACACCCAAAATAGGGGCTGAAATTATAAAAAAACCCAACACCCAAAACACTTTATAAACACACCCAAAACCCATCATTACACACTCAAAACCCATTTATAAACACACTCAAAAAATATACAATTGTTGATTTTGGGATTGCTTTTGGATGTGTTTCTATCTATGTTTAAATAGTGTTTGGGTTTTTTTATAAATACATGTCTAGAATTGGGTTTATTTATAAATTTGTATATTTTATTTTATTTTTCAAAGTTTCCTTTTGTGCCATGTGTTATGTCTTAAACGGTTAGATTATTATGATGGTCTAGATGTTGCGAAATGTGGGTAAATGCACAACACCTAAATGTAAAGGCTCGGGATCCCATAATTATCACATTTCTCAACACTTCACATGTTCATGGGCATAATCATGATTCTATAATACAAAGTAAAGAGTTAACTATGGACTTATGATTATGTTTATGGATACGTGTCAAATGTTGAGAAAGGTGGTGAGGTATACACTAGGTTAAAGTGGTGAGCCAATATATTTCCAATAGAAAATATTTCCTCCTCCCCTATAAGTATGAACTCCTACATTCCATGACATGTGAGTAGAAAAAATTTCTTCTTATATTTTTAATAAATTATTTTTGTACATGTGTCAAACTCAAACTGTGATTTTGCACATGTGTACAGACATAAATACTCAAAATAATATAAATATATTTTTATTTGATCAAGGGAGGAACTATCAACTTACCTTTGAACTGTTTGGTCCCTTTCTTTTTTGACCTAATGGGGCCTGTGTGTCCTTGGGGTTTTTGTTTGTAGTGTTTTATTTCTCCTATAAATAAATAAAAAAACTTGAATCTCTTCAAATGTTGAGAAAAAATATGTCATTAAATTAAATGCTAGTTGTTGTTTTTTTGTTTTTTTGTTTTTTTTGTTTGTGTGATAATGTGATCAAATTACATACTTCAAAACTCGTTTATCTCTTTTTATTTTATTAGTACAAGTGATTGGAGTAGGATGATTTACATAAATATTTACCCGTGTCTACGAGTTTCAAATCTATGACCACATGGATAAAAGTAAAAGAACTCAACCATCTATATACATTCCATCACCTATATATGGTTTTTATTTATTTATTTTTGGTAATGAAAAGACAAATCTAAAAACGCATCATGCTTAGCGGGACCTATCCACGCTTGTAAGCCAGAACGGGTATATCTAAGCCAAAAAATCTCAAGAAACAAGTAGCTAGCTCACAGGAAAAGAGTCAATAAAAGGAAAAAATTCTCACTTTTTTTTTTCCTTTTTTATTTTTTGTTTAATGCGTGTTAGAAGCTTAGAAAGCAACATCATCATCATCTTCACCTGCTAGTCCATGAAATGAAACAAACCTAACAGCCTTCTTCAACCTCACCGATAACCAAAGGGCCTCTAATTTACCAAAAGTTTCAGGCTTTCGATCCTCTCGATCTACCAATACTATGGCCACCAATGTTGCCCCTCCGGTCAGTCCCTTTGCCTATATTTACTTGTTTTTTGTATGTATTTGTAAAGGTTTTGATATTCATGGTGGGCAATTGTGAATTTTCTGTTCGAGCAGAGAGCTGCGGACGCAGAGAATAGCTTGGAGAAGATCAAGCGTCATCTGGCTTCGGGTTCTGGCCGGAACTTGTTGCAGGGCCCACTTCTCAAGCGATCCGAGACGGTACGATCCCAGAGCCTCCCATTTGTCTTTCTTTTACTTCCTTTTTTTGTGGTTTCAAATTATTTTTCAGGATTAGATTTTGGTTCTTGCGAAAGTTCAGTTTTTTTTTTTTTTCTGTTGGGTCAATTCCTAATTTAGATTCTGTTGGCTTTTCATTGAACCGCTTGTACTGCGAATTAGAAAAATGATAAGTAACATTTTTTAAGCTCCCGTTGATATTATTGAAGTTCAGTCATTTCAAAACTGAAGTCTTTATAAATCATGCTTGAAAGAGTTCTAAATGTAATTTGGACACTGGGATGGTTTGGCGAGCTTTCCTTTGTAGTGCTTTTTGTTCTGGAAATTATTGAACTGCTGTTTTCTTTTAACAGCTGAGAAAATGGAACGAGCGGTGGGTGATCTTAGACCCGACAACAGGGAGAATGGAATACAAGTTAGTTGTGCAAGACATTCTTACTTCAATTTATGCCTTATAGATGCATTGACCAACACCGTACTTTTTTATGATTTAGGATTAGGAGAAATGAGCCGACTGTCAAGGGAACCATTCTCTTTGATGCAAATAGCACAATCACCCTTTCTCCAGTGAACTTCCAGTAAGATTCATTTTTGCATAATATCTGTTTTATATAACAGTCATCTTTGCAGGTTGTAATTTCAATGATGTGTTACATGATTTCTTTTTCTGTTTTGTGTTTTCAGTGGGATGCAAAAGTATGATGGCTGCTGTTTCTGTATCCTCATTTATTTTCTCTAGTATTTTCGTAATGTAGAGGCATATCTTTTAACTTCTATAGAAAACATTCTTGTAAATCTGGATAGGAATTTCTGAACTTGCATGCTTCTTAACTTCATTCTTTAGATATTGGGACCCCACAGAAAAAAGACTACTTCCTTTGTGCAGAGACTCCTGGTGCAGCTAGAGCATGGGTATCAAC